TTGTTTCTGTTAAAATTAAAAGGTCTGAAAACAGGTGACACATTTTAAAAGTTTTGGGACATAATTGCAAAATTTTCAAGATAAAGGTAATAAATACATAATGACTACAAAATAGTTGTCATTCATTTCAATGCTTATACGTTATTTGATCATAAAACATCTTCGAAGACTATATAAATAATTAAAAATATTCTAATTGGGTTAATTTCAATAAAATATTCGATTACCTTAACAAAATAAATATATTATAAAATTTATGATTATATTCGACATATTAGTTAATGCCATTTGTATTAATCTTGACAATTAACGGAGCCATGTAGAATGCTAGCCGTGTGATCATTACCCCCTGTTTGGCCCACAATAATTTAGATTATAATGAAGGGAATAATGTTTTTTCTTGGAAAATGGATGTTTATAAAAGAATAAAAAGTTTTCGATTTACGTGTAATATTATTTTATTGAAAATTGTGTGGTTGAAAATAGAAGAGATAAAAATTTAATTTGATTATATGTAAGTGTAATTATTATAAATTTGATGAACCTCTACCATAAGAAAAAATTTCAATGACCATTTTGAAATTTTTAACAAACTTCAGTGACTGTTTTTGAAATTAACCTTATTTTATTCATAAATCGTGGTTTATCACACGCCAATCGCCAATGCTTCCCGGAGTCCCGGCTATTAAAACAGTGGCGACGACTCAAAATTTCAATTCGTCTTCTTCTCCCTATCCATCTAGAGGGTTTTTAATTTGTCTTTATTCAAAGGAAAACTCTGCAAAATCATTCATTAGTCCATTAATATCTGATTAAACTACTCAGGCTTAATTGATTTTATTCTCTTCGTCTCAACCTGGGCTTCACTTTAAACCCTAGAATCCTGGTAAGCCCGTCTCTGCTTTCCAATTCTTTAACTCAGTCTAGTTGAATTCTTTTTTCTTGGCTTGAGCCTCGGGTTTGATTTTTATTTTTTCTTGTCTCGACGTTTTTCATGTGAAATGCGATTCTTGGGGCGAATTGCATTTGCGGGAAATTCTCTTCGAGTGAAATTCGTTGATAGGATATGATATGAAGTGTTATTGAATATGAACGATGAAAATGGGAAGTCTAACGTCGGATTCTTGAGTGAGAAGGAAAGTCTACAGGCAAAAAAGAAGAACAAGAAGTTGGGAATTGACGATTTTGCTGAGGCCATTGCTAGAATTGCTGTGGCTCAGTTATGCGAGAGCTTAGGGTTTCAGAGCTTCCAGCAGTCCGCACTGAATACTCTATCAGATGTAGCGGTCAGGTACATTAGAGAGTTGGGAAGAACTGCAAATTATAATGCGAATTTAGCCAATAGGAGTGAGGGTAATGCGTTTGATGTGATTCAGGGATTGGAGGATCGGGGCTCCATTCAGGGGTTTTTCGGGGGTTCTGACCCTAGTCATTGTCTCTCTGGTTCGGCAGTAGTTAGGGATATTATTAGGTACATTGAAGAAGTGGAGGAAAACCCGTTTGTGTATTCAATTCCCTGTTTTCCTGTTGTAAAAGAAAGAAAACTGAACCCTGGTTTCAAGCAAACAGGTGAAAGCCCTTCCAAGGAGCATATACCTGATTGGTTGCCCAAGTTTCCTGATCCTGAGACTTATAAGGATTTAATATTGGGGAATGAGAAAGAATTGGAGACTTGGAACTATAATATAATACAGCAGGTTGATGAGCAGAATAAAAATTCTGAGATGCCCCTTCTAAATATGCAGCAGAAATTGTTTAGTAATGGGTTTGAAGGAGCGGTGGCTGTTGAACCAGGGGATGCTGCAAAGGCACTAAAAGCAGCAGAAAGTAATCCATTTCTTGCCCAGCCTCTTCAATTTGGGGAAAAGGAGGCATCTTTGCCTGTTCTTCCAGCTAAATTTTATGATGAGGCAGCATGGAGACATCAGAATCACACATTTACGGATAATCATGTTTCAGCTATAGAGCAATCTGGGCGCATCACTGAAGCTGTTTGGAGCAGTCCATGTGAATCCAAAGGGGACAGGAGAAATATTCTCTTGGATGGGAGGCCCAGCGTACAATTTAAGTTTGAAAGTAGGAGGAAGTCTTTAGGTAGGCCAACCGACCCTCAAACTGCAGATACTGACAAAATTGCTCCTTGGTTTGGCAACGATCATGATGAAAAAGATGAGAAGAATAGGACGTCGAAGCAAATTCTCCACGAAAATGGGGAAAATATGCAGGAATAGCTCATTTGTAGATTAGGCATGTTTAGTTGGATTCTGTATACTTGTTTAGGGAACTGCTTCGAACCCCAATTCCAGGTTAGTCATATTCAATGAGCTAGAATTTCTCTCTACGAGCTTTACAGACTGCTAGAGGCGCATTGTTCCCACTTTATTCAGTTCTTGAGGTATGTAGTTGTCTCGTGAACATTTGTTATTGATAATATCTTCATAACTGAAATTGAAATTTGGTTTTTAAATCTCTTACTCCTCTTTAATAAATAGTTGTCTCGACTTTATCGAGTAAAGGATGATGAAAGGATTGTTGTTTATTTGAGCAAATAGAGGTTGATAATTGGTGGATTCCAATGAAATGATCGTTAGGCAGTTGAAAGACGATTATGTTAAATTCTTTATGTTCATTTTTAGTTAATCTGTCCACAATCCACCACTTTTTAGAAAATTAGATTGCGACTTGATAGTATAGAAGTTTTATTACAAGGTTTCTTCTGATTTATAGCTTCTTTTCTTGAAGTTGAATGGTGACATTGGAATTTATTGAGTGTTACTTTGAGCTGATTTAATTTTGTCTACATTTACATTACAGCCACAAGAGTTTGTAATTGTATAGCAAATGTTTAAAAAAGCATAATCAGGTAGTGAGAAGTGAGGCGTAAGTCTCATCGTAAACACAAAAAAACTATGAAATGTGATTAAACAATAATGAATCATCAATATTCCTCAAAATTCATAATCTGTGATGCTTGGCCACTTGTACTAGGGTGGTGTACCTGTGTCTTACATGTATGATGTCCTGTCGGGCACTTGAACTCCTCGGATTCAATGATATGGGTATAATAAGCCACATGTCGTGTCTTAGTTTTTACATATTTCTTAAATTTTGATGCTCCAGGGATACTTTAGGTACATTTCTTGAGCAGGCGTTCGATTTGGCATGTTCCTTGTCCTATATTAATATTATAATATAAAATATAAAATAGAAATTTAAAATTTTTAAAAATTTTATCAAGGTATTCGTGTCCTACTTTCCCAAACAATCACTTATCAGTGTGTCAGTGTCGTGTGCAACATTGTTCATAATAGAACAATCTAAATTAAGTGTGCAAACAAACAAAAGAAATCTAGCGTAACAAAAAACAGCTGTTACTTTTGTTGGTCGGGTAGTAGACTATTCTCAACGCGGGGTCTAAAAGAAGCACAATTTTTTAATGTTTTAATGGGTTAAGTGGGTTTACTGATATTGTAAGGGGTGATACTCAATATATCATTTTTTTTTTTTTTTGATGCTTTGAATACTCTAGTTCCATACCCAAAAAGCAAGGGATGATACTTTGTTTCTGATCTAGTCCCACTCTCAATTGCAACATTCTACTGTTGTTGTAGAGTAAGTTAGTCGTGAATCTTGGTCTAACTTTGTTTCCTGACCCTTGGAAAATAGCCTAGTTTCCTAAGCCTCCTTTTGTCTCGATATTGAGCCAATATACATACAGAGTCTATAAAAATTTTTATTATTTTGAGTGGGTCTACACCTAAAACAAAGTAAATAGGTTTGGAAAACTAAGAAGCGAATGCCTCACAAGCCTTCAGACAGTGTTGTGAGGCTTGTGCCTCCAAAAACTGGCTGACTTTTAGTGCCTTGAGGCTTTTTTGTTCACCTCACTCTAAGGCGAGCCATAATTGGCATTCATTAAACCACGTATACCCTTCTATTAGGTTTGTTTGGTTGCTCTTTAGATTATGTAAAGAAATGTCTTTCTGATCGGTTGTCCAATTGTCCTCTTCTTGACCGAGAAAATAAAGAGAAAAAAGGTCAATGGCAGGTATGTAAGAGTTTATTGGGTTAAAATCTTTGTCTGCACATGAACAAGAGTACTAGATTTAAATTTTGTGTTGAAAAGTCATGTCCAATTAGACTCGTGCATAAGGACTGATGCTGCAAAAAAAACACCCTAGAAAGGAATATCAAGAAAGGAAAAGATGTTGCTTCGTTTTCTTACAAGGTTTAAGAAAGCTTAAAGTCATGAGTTACTATTCATGTTCACGACGAGGTAATTTTTTATTAAGCTTCTTGGGTTTCAATTCCATGCACAGGAGTACATTTAAGGCGAATTATGAAGAATAACATATCCACCAAATTTTACACAGCTAGACTGACCCTACATGTATAATGTTTTTGGATGATTTTGTTACAGATCTACTACTTGAACATGCAAAACCACCGGCTATTCCCCTTGTCAAAATTTTCATCTCCCCACTGTAGCTCATTATTCTCCCACTCATTTCCCCTTGCAGCAGCATCCACAGGCTGCCTTTCTGCCCCAGGCGGTGGGTGAGCACCTCCTGTCAGACGTTGGTTCGCTCCTGCGCCTCCTATGGTAGTGTAGCGTCTTCCATAGCCACCCTCATTCCACGCCCTAACCCTCTAGACATCTCATGCTGTTGGGTCAAGATTGAATTTGAATTGATTCGTTGGATTAATGAATCGATTTCTTGTTTTTGTTGCATCATCTCTTCCCTCCTCCCTCCATCCCATCATTCATGGCTTGGTTGCAAGCATTGGGTCAGCTCCTTGGTGGCATCTCCATGAGGATCTCAACATGGCTCCACAAGAACAAAATTGATTCAAGATTGAATGTCGAAAATTGTATTGAAAGAGATAAAACTCCCAAAATATATTAACTTCATTCAAAAAAGGCCAAGTGAATGCTACTGTCAGCTGCAAGATAAATAACAGAATCCTAACCTGATTGCCAACTAATTGAAATTGCACTAAAGTCCTTACACTCCTTGAAAATATTAGCTCTGAGGCACTAATAAATAATAAATGGAAAAGATAAAACAAAAAGACATAAAAAATAAAATAAAATGAATCCAGCCATATTTCATCATCATCCATCTAAACTTATATTCATCACTCAGGCAGGAATCCAGCTGCATTGCACTAAAAGTTCACTCAAACTGACTGACAAATTAATTTTTCCATATTCTTTGAAAGAGGTGAACTAGTTGTATAGTTTTAAAATTTTTAGTGGAACAAAATATTAATAACTCAGTGACGAACCTCAACGTTCAAGGTTGAAGGGGAATGCCATTACAGGTCATTGGGAAAAAAGGAAGACGTTCACTACATAAAGCATTTCAAAGAAAAAAGGAGGAAGGCGCTCAACTGCTTACTTGAGGAAGGTGTTTATTACATGATGGATGGTTATTAGAATGCAACAAGTAAATGCACCAATGCACGACTAGAGGCAGAAATTAAGCAATAGAAATTCAGGCTACAACATCCACAATTTGACATTTCAAAACTGATGAGTAAGCATATAATTGCATTTCCATATATGTCCCATCACTACAAAATTACCTAGTTTAGAGCATGCAATAGACATTTCCACTTCTCATTAAACTCAAAATGCTGAACATTTACAAGTACGGATCTCTTGAGAGTAATTACATGAGATCCTACCAAAAGTTAGCAGAGGAGAGTATTGATCAACTATGACCACGTGAACATGCCACCAGAAATTTGGGATAATGAAATTTCAGCATAATGAAGTCTTAGAATGGATTTCGAAATTGTATTTGACTATTTTCCTTAACAGTTCCAATACTTTCCACGTCATCTCTTTAAATACTCATTTTCTATTACAAAAAGAAAGGACACATTGGAAGAATTTCTTGGAAGCAAACTGGAATGCTGGGGAATGGAGGACTTTCATGTAATGTCACGTATTACCCTAGGTTAAAAACAATTAACTAAAAATAAAAAAATAAAAATTACATTTATAATTAACTGAAACACCATCACCCTGTTTGTACCAATTTTATCGCTCTTTTTGCAGTGAATTAAAGGCAATGGTGGACATCTTCTTCATATCTGAATTTATCAGGTATAATTATTGTTTATATATAAAAACTTGTCTTAAATCATTTAGGTTTCTTATGTTGCTAGCAAACTCGAATCTGGAAATGTTGGAACATAAATGGGAAATTTGGAGCTTGCATTAATGTTTTAAGATGTCCTTGGTTTTGACTTTGTTTAAGTGCCTGACTTGGTTTGGTTAAAGGCACAAGCTAATATGAATTCTAGGTAAGATTAGAGGGAGACTACGTTTGTTAATTTCCTAGAGGACATTTCTTCCTAAAATGTGTTTTCTCTGTACATTTCTTCCTTGCTCATTTTATAATTGTCATCACATTTCAGCAATTCCAGTTCTGGAGTTCTGAATAAGATTGATGCGAGCTTGATGAGAGATATTTGGGAAGCAAAAGTGAAGAGATACTCTATTTGTGACAAAACAAATGTGGTTAATTAGCTGTAGAATTGTATCTTTAAACACGATTTTACGATCCTGTACCAGTTCGGGATGTACTTTCTTGATTTAGCATTCTGAATTCTGGACTTACCGAGATGGGTTGGGTGATGACGTCTGGATGAATGACAATCACTTGATTTTACTATGAATGATGGTTTATGCTTTATTTTTCTTGTTTTTGTTGGCTTCTTCGTTGAAATATCTCTAGGTTAAACTATTTTGGTTTACCTGGTGAGATCATTTGTTTTGCTGCTTACTTTTTATCATTGAGAAATGTTGGTTTTCTTATTTGGAGGTGAGGGGAGTGTGTGTGTTCTTCTATGTACCTGTTTTTAAGATTTCCACATGAATTACAGCTTGTGACTTGGCGTTCCTCTTATTTAACAGGATGAGGGGAATAATATTGCTTTATGTTATGAAATATTCTTCAATATATTTTCTACCATTTAACTGTAGTTTAGTTATAGTATGCAATTGGCTTTTAGATTCTGTACATAGGGTATGACCACAATAAGCTAACACTTGCTTACATGAAGATTTGTGCTGTCAACTAATGGAGATATTTTACTGCATCGTGATATTTGTGAAATATTTTATTTTAGGCACGAGGAAAAACATTCATAACTAGGAAATGTAGAGCTTGGCAAAATTACATGGTAAACAGTTCTCTGCTACTCAGCACTGCATCCTTGGTCAATTATGCACGCCTAATAGCTTCTCCCAGGACTACCTCATTAATCAAGTCTTTAAAGATTAGGCGCTCAATGTCTAATGCGAAGGCTGGGATCTCACAAGTGTACTCTTCCCAATCTGCCGATTGATGCATCATATCTTCCTTCAAGATTTTCACAAATCCATCATTCTTGTCATCTTGGCTGCAATATTGCTTTCTCTGAAGATGATTCAGCTCTAAATGAATTTCTCTAGGAAGCTCGTCTTCGTTCAACTTTTTTCGTCCCAGGGTGAATAATCCCTGTGAAGCAAATTTGTGAACAAGAATTTCATTGACTGTATCAAAAACAATTTTTCTGTGGATTTTCTGATTAAATTTTAACCAAGCATTCTCATCATGAAGTTCTTTATTTTCCAGCTCTGTGTTTTGCTCAGTTTGTTCAAGGACATCAAACAAGTCGGGGTTGATCAGATGGTATGATGAGTGGTGCTGATTGACAGTTGGGACTGGTATTACATCTCTGAGGAGTCCTGATGCCAGTAATATCTTTGTAATATATTGCAGATCTGGATTGGGGCTCTCGTACATGAATTTATTGTGGTCCGGAGTATCCTCATGAGGAGTGGGGTTCAATAATCTGAGCTTATGAACTAAGTCCTCAATCATATCTAATTTTCTGTGCCTATGCCCGGGAAATCCTTTGTGATCTGGTAAACTCTCAACATGCCATTCTGCCTCGTCAAAATTTGGACTTTCACCATCTGTTCAGGTATTGACAAGATGCAACAATATCTATGAGTCAAAATGTGCTTTTGCTATTAATTGCAAATAAAAGAAATTGTGCATAGATGAGTATTCTCTTTTTGCATGTCTGTAATCATTGGTTTTTTAATTTCCTTTTGTATAATTCCATTTGTACCAAATTGTTCATTTCAATGCCCCTGTTTCACTTTATCCATTGCCGAACATTTTCGTATGAGATTCAAAATCACATTTGTTTCAAAGTATGGCTTTTTCTGTGTGGTTCATTTCTAGTTAACAACAAATGTCATCTCTCTAATAAAGGTTAGAGTAACCAAAAAGGCAAGTCTTTGCTAATAAAGCAGTGATAAACAATTTCTTCACTATCTTGAATTTCTTCTATATTCTTTTCTGTGTTTGATTGTGAAACTGACACATTGATGACAACTGGTCTTATACTCTTATATGACCTGCAAATTCTGTGGTGGCCTGTCAACTATCTAAAGATTAATATAAGAGCCTCACTTCTGTTGAAATGGTACATAAATACAGGGAGAATCTACATTTCATTATGTGTCACTCTGTTGTATTGGTTCATTTTCTGTTATATTTATGTAACTTATTCTTTTAGTACAGTTAAGCCTTCTTACACATATCAATGTAATTTATCTTAGTCATGTACAAGATGGATGATACTCAGAGAAAGAGCTATACCTCTAAAAGCAGTTGATATCTTCTTGACAGGAGATGGTGAGTCATCTCTGCAAAATGCCGCATCAAGTACTGAGACAGGACTTGGTTGTTCCAGTATAGTTGTTGCAAGTTCAGCTGTTATTGTGTCTTCCCTCAATCTTGCTGCAGAATTCTGGAAGGCGAAAAATGGAACTTGTTAATTAGTGAGCTAGAACCACAGGACAGGCACTAAAATAATCACACTTACCCTATGTATGGGTTCATGGTTTTGTTTGGCATTCATCTCAATGGAATGAGCCAAGCTGATGACCTCTGTTTCCATCTGTGAGATGAGACTAGTATTGCTTTCTGACGTCACAGAAGCTGTATCGCTTTGGTGACTTGAGCATCTTGTGTCTCCACTGTGCTCGCTCAATTGATCACAACCATGCTGCAGACTGGTTGATCTCATGTGTAGTTTTCTATTTGAGCCCGATGCCACGACTTGCTTACTACATTTCTTTTTAATCGTGCCTGAGTCGGACGGTGGGGTGGTGGGATGAGATTGCCTGTATATTCCTTTCTTATTCTGCTTTAATCTTGGACTTGCCATTCCGGAACTCCTTCCACAGGTAGCACTACTTTGTATCTTAATGCATTGAGGTGCTTTTGAGGTTTGCTGTACTTCTGAAATTCTCCGATTGATATTCTTATCAGTGGAACGAATATGCCAACTAGGATCTTTCAGATTATTCCTTGACATAAAATCTTTTCCTGGATGTTTGTGAACTGAACTCTCCTGGTTATTTGTAGAATCCCTTGTTCTGAGTTTCTGCAAATGCGATGTTACTGGAGCTGGAACTGATGAACTTGAAATTTTGATTTTGTCAAACACTTTGGCTGGTTTCATGATCATAATAGAAGTCGTTGGAGGGACAGTCCCCTTCATGGTGGGAACTTGGTGGTTACTCCGTTGATCCTGCTGTGTGAACAATCTAAAATCTGGATCAGAGAGAATGTTCACACTGTATCTGCTTGTTTGAGATGCAGATTCGGCAAGTTCCCCTTTTCTGTTCTCCAGCGTTTGTCTTGTTTTCTCCATTGCTTCAAGCATATGTTTTAGGGCCATGAGATCCTTTCCAGATTTCAGGATTTCAAGTTCTGTTATCCTTTTCTCAATCTCACCATAAACAGAGGACATATTTGGGGTCATTGCAGATGATTTCCTACTTTTTAAAGCTTGCTTTCGAGAGCCTTGACTAGTATCCGGCCGCCTCCATGGAGCTGGTTCAGGTGGAAACCTTGAGTGTGAAGTCAGTTTAATGATTGAATTGGCATTACCCAAGTGTGGCGAGGCAGGATCCTTTTGCAAAACACGTGGGGAACAAGAATCTTGAGTGTGCTTGCCAATGCCAGCTGGTTTTGGTGATCTTGAAACAGAATCTATGTCAGCACATGACTTGATCTTTATAATCCTGCTCTCATTAGTGGAAATAACATCCGAGAAGGCTTCCAAGCCCATTAGCTTTGCCACGACATTGGATGATCTTTTGTTACTTCCTGGTTCTTGGTTAGAGGGTAGAACTTGGCTGGAGTTTTCATTTCCTATTTGCAGATCCTGTAAAAGAAAGTTCGATCTGGATTGAAGGGCTGAACTCTTCACAGTACTGGCTCTACTGTCCAACGATAACCTGGGAAGTTCTTTGCGCTGAATGGTAGAATTCAAAGTATCTTGTGATTCTCTTCCATCATAAGAGAAACGAGGTAGTGCCAGCCGCTCATCCTTGTAAAAAAAAAAAAAAAAAAATTTTTTTTTTTTTTTTTTTTTTTTTTTTTTTTTTTTTTTTTTTTTTTTTTTTTTTTTTTTTTTTTTAAAAAAAAAAAAAAAAAAAAAAAAATAATAATAATAATAATAATAATTCCACAAAAGGAACTGTTCAGAATCTTACATTTGCTGTTTCTGTTGCATGTCTAGGATCCATATTGTGGTGAGCACCTTAGCAAGCACAGAGTTATTATAATGTTAGATAGTGGTGGCAGTAGATGATAAAAATTTGACTTGTTTCATGATTGTGGTATGCAAAATGATACAGGTATAGTCGTATACAGGGGATACCTATATGATTAATTTTGTGAACAGAAGATGAGGATGATGTATCAATAAATCCTATAAAAGATTCATGATGTGTTTGTAGAAAGTTGGTAATTAAAAAACTGTGATTGCATGAAACAATGATGATCCAGAAAGGGTTTGAAATCGAGTTCCATTTGGAATTGTGATATTTTTGCGGGAGCTTTCACCTTATTGAAGGTGTTGTTTTAACTCGTTTTCTACCATCTCATAACTTCGTAAGTGGTTGCACAGAATAATATATTTTCATTTCTGTATTGCTATGCTAAAAGGATTACTTCCATATAAAATGCAAAAAAGGGAGGATCATGGTGAATGCAGGAAAATTGGAACCCATATGCGTTCACAATGTCATGATTCCTTTGGAAGTGTTAAAGAAGACGAACACACAACTATACCTGAATGTGCAAAAATATATTAAATAAAATCTTAAATAAATGCATATTTGAATCTTAACTTTCTGGTTTCAAAAAGAATCACCTGGAAGTAGTCTTTTGTGATTTTGGCTGCTGATGTGCCTGCGTGATGGGAAATGGTGGCGATCAAAGAGCTGAAATATCCCATTCATACACCCTATCTGTTTCCTCAGATCCCGGTTCTCGTCTGTGAATGAAGGTACTACTTTTGCACACATTTCTGTTACTTCTTTTTATACCAATTTTCAAATCTTGCTATTTTTATCTTGCCTGTGGAGTTCCATTTACAGGAAGATAGTTACCTGATTCAAAAATTCAACATGTTTATGTCATATATACATGCAATGCAAAGTTTCTAATGAATTTTGGTTTTGTCAACAGAAAGATATTGTATATTTTTCCCTTATTTAGATTTTAAGGGGAGTGGAGCTATGCAAAATGCAACAGAAGAGAATAGGAAAGACAGTACTCACAGCAATCCAAATATTTGGCTGATGACTAAGGGCTCTGGCATTAAATAATCGCTTTTTTGGGTTCCGGTGATCATGCCGGACAATGTTTGCTATTTAGTGCCACAGGGAATAAAAAGGAAACAAGGACTGGACCCGAAACCTACAGTTTGTTTGTTCTCAATAAGTTTGGGGTCGACAACACGTCTGTAGTAGAAGAGGTCTTAACAACAAAAACATAAATGAGAGCTAACTGTAGAAAATATCTAGAGACCCAAGTTGGCTCTCTTCAGGCTAGAGTTTTTAGAGAGGTAATGGGTGTGCAACTATATATATAGACTGTTTCTAATTTTTCTGCTGAGAGAACGTGGGTCAGATCTAGCGTGAATAAGTGGGGCATATTTTACTGGTCATTTTCTCCCATTTCATGAGGACTATATGCTGTGCATGGGTCCAGATCCTGAACTTGTATATGGGCATGTCGAGTCTTTGATAATAATGCATGTAACATGTTTATTAGTGTACTGGCAAACACTCTTCTCCAATCACCCTCTTTACAACTACTTTACCATACGGTTCGGTAAGACAAACTTTTTCTTCTTTAATTAATCTAGCCCCCATTTGGCCCCCATTTTTTCGAACTTGTTTTTAACCATATTTCATGGGCTTCCCAACTTTTATCAATTGTTCAACCACACATTTCATCAATTTTTATTGAAATTTACTAAAATTTGATTTTTAACAAAACAACAGGGTTCGACACTAATCTAGTATAACATATCGAATATACCATGAGTGATGAGTTTGTTGTGCTTAAAAGGGGTTTGTTAGTGTTCAAGTCATCAGTTGGCAGTGATAAATTCTTCTGCACAAAGTTCCAAAGACGTTGTGCTAAGCTTATTATTAAAGTAGCAATAATTGAATCAGATGTATTGCTTCCATTGCCAGTAAAAAGATTAACAGTTTACTAGAAATGTTGTTCAAACCGTTAATTGTTTCCTCTCCTTCTTCAGTCCATATTGTTACGCCTTTCGTGTAGGTTGAAATTTCATCAGAAATTTTGTTCTCAGTCGTAAGGCCATATTTGGGATAACTACTACTACTTGAAAAAGAGATTCATAAGTAAGTCACATTAGTTTGACGGGTAATTAGCACAAAACATCCCTACCTTTCGATGTTTTTGTAGAAAGCATCCCTACCTTTCATTTTTTGGAGGATTACACCCTTACCTTTACCTTTTTTTGCACAAAACGTCCTTCTGTCAACTCTCCGTTAAAATGCTCCGTTAAATCAAAACTTTCAAAGTTATTGTGTAAAACGTCCCTACCTTTTATTTTTTAGCATAATTAGCAGAAAAGGTCCATACCTTTCAATATTATTGTGCAAAACGTTCCTACCTTTTATTTTTAGCGTGGGTAATTAGCACAAAACATTCCTACCTTTTGATTTTTTTGTGGAAAACGTCCCTACCTTTCATTTTTTGGCGGATTACACCCTTACCTTTACCTTTTTTTGCGCAAAACGTCCTTCTGTCAACTCTCCGTTAAAATGCTCCGTTAAATCAAAAAGGTAATTAGCACAAAAGGTCCCTACCTTTCAAAGTTATTGTGCAAAAGTCCTTACCTTTTATTTTTTAGCATAATTAGCATAAAAGGTCCCTACCTTTCAATATTATTGTGCAAAACGTCCATACCTTTCATTTTTAGCATTTTTACCCCTACATTTCACCTTTCATTGTGCAAAATGTCATTTTCATCAATTTTTCAATAAAATGACGATATTACCCTCCTATTGAAATAAAACAAAAAGAAAAGAAAAAAAATAATTAATTAATTGCAATCATAGTTCTAAATCTTTCAAAACATTACAGATAAATCATAAATTCTCAACCACCACCATTTTCACAACCTATCAAGCTGCCAACTATAAATCCACATAATACCATCTTTCGGCCACCATGCCCATCTTTTGTGCTAATTACCTTTTTAATTTAACGGAGCATTTTAACGGAGAGTTGACAGAAGGACGTTTTTCGCAAAAAAAGGTAAAGGTAAGGGTGTAATCCGCCAAAAAATGAAAGGTAGGGACGTTTTCCACAAAAATATCAAAAGGTAGGGATGTTTTGTGCTAATTACCCTAGTTTGACTTAATCTAAAAGCTTAGATTATTTAAGCAGATAAATCATTTTCAGAAAATTATTCAAGTTGGTGGATGCCCATTAAACAATAAAGATAAGGACCTGCAATCAGAATTCAAGTTTAGATGATAAGAATTTAACTGTTTTGGCTCTTCCTTGTGTTGTTTCTGGGGCATAAAATTCCCCACTGGTCAACAATTGCCTGCTTCTTACCCTTCACTAATTAATGCATTGTGGCTTTGTCTTCATTGTACTTCTCATCTGTTACAATGAACATCCAAGTCTGATGCACAAGTTACCAACATTTGAGATTATTGGAAATTTGTATTGAACAATACTAAGCACAGTGGCTTTGAAAAGTTTAACGATCAGGACCTCTCGCTCAAGCCGTTAACTTTACGTACTGTCCGCTTCGGGTGGACCTTGCGTCCACTTATCCCTCACGATTTTTATTCGCGTCCCCCAGGATTCGAACTCTTGACCTCTACATAAGAGAGACATAAGTTGAATTCTAGTACCAATTGGATAAGAGTGTTTTGTCTGACTAAAAGAGTTTTCAGAAAAAACTAACATATTGTGACTTTGTCTGAGAATATTTTCTACAAAAAGTAGAACTGAAAGCGGAAGCATAGCTAGATGTGTCCTAATTTAATTGTTAATCTTTCCAAAAAAAAATAAAAAAATACAGATATGATCTTTTTACAAAATCTGTGTATTTCCCACTTTCAGCTCAGTTATTATTCTAATATTTTCAAAAATCCACTAGTTATTCCCGTTTACGTACAGATCCAACGGAAGGCTTTCATACTTTATTTATTTTATAACTTACTACTATTTTTTCTTTATTTTTTAAAATTATTAACTAAACAAGTTATTGTTAAACTGTTACTTTATATCGACAGAATTATTTCTTCTTAATATTTAAATATTTTTTACTTACTTTATTCTTCGACGGAAATTTCCTTTGTGATTTAATTTTAATTACTAAACAGGAAAAAGACAAAAAAGAGGTATGAAAGTTCCAAATTTTGAGGATTTTATAATCAAATCACATAGCGTGTGTAATTTATTAATGGATAATGCTCTTGGTACATTGTGGTGTCCAACATGGTATTCAAAATGGACACCCGGCACCTCGGTATTGGCTGAGGTGCCGGTGGGCCCCGGCGTGGATTGGCTGAGGTGCCGGGTGTCCATTATGGACACCATGTTGGATACCACAATGTATCTCAGGCATGATTGTTTATTAATAACAAGAAAAAAGAGAGCTACAACTACGAGGGTGGTCACAGACGCATGGTCCAAACCTCTAGCAGATGAAGAGTAACCAATCTCATCCGAAAATGGGAATTACAACGAAACGTAATAAGTAAATCAATGAAATTAATGAGGGTTATAATTGTCATATACAGATCTTATCTAGCTAGGATGCAAAAGCAAAATAAACATTGTTTGCTTACTATGGATAAAATAATTTTATTCAATGTCGTGTGAACATGTAACTGAGTTTTCAAATTATTTGACTTCAATAACCCAATAATTGAAAATTTATGTGAAGTTGTTAAATAAAATGTAGGTTGCATGAATTGAACTAGCGGATAAAGTGAAGAGATCCCCATGAGGGTTGCCTGAATTTCAACCGACTAATCTATTCTTAACCATTAATAGCTATGCTATGTTCCAAGAAACCCTACCCCATCTGTTCAATATGATTGGCATATGTGAAATGACCCTCACCCTCACACCCCATGTCTCCCCACCAAATTTAATCACCATGTGCATTGATCATAAATTATTTGCTTCATTAGCCACTTAAAAGGGGACATATCCCAATTCTTAGTCAAATCATGCAAATTTGTTTAACAATTATGCATTTAAAATAGGGAAAGAAAGTGAAAGGAAAGGATCTCTATGCATAGTTGATGTGCTAGATTAGATTTAGTTGTTTTGATCTCTAGATGAATCCTATTGATGCAATACTAGCTTATAATTTATTGGGTGATTGTACCTTTAGCAGCTTTTTTGGTTGTGTACTTGGTGTTTATCATGTATTCACCGATTTCTATTTCTTTTCCTATTAACTACTAAGTTGATCGTAGGTCTTGCTTCTATTGGATTTGATGTTGGTCAAATGACTACTATGGATCAAGTTTGTACAGGGTGTTGCGAAATTGTTTGAGATAGAGGGAAAAGTAAGAGGTACTCTATTACTTAGTCTATAAATAGAATCAATGAACACACCCAAAAAATTGAAGGTTTGACACTCTTCGAGCCTCTTTCTCAGTTCCTCATGATATAAAAAAGAAGGATGTGAGTTTGTTGTACTTTATTCAATCAAATTCTATACAGCTTAAAAGTGTCAAATATGCTCGATGAGCAATAAGAAAATTATTTTCAATTCCTAAAGCAGTGAGCACTAAAGTATACGAGATCAAGAAAGTTCATAGATCTAATTAAGCTTGGGAATTAAGCAACCTACTTTTAGTAAATTTGAAATCTAGTTTCATAGATGAAGCAAAATAATGTCAATTAAAATATTCAATATACAACAAATAATTTTATATATAAGCAACTTATAAAAAAATGCAATAGTATGATTCACTCTTTGTTTGACATAAAATTACTAGATACTTGTCAGAGTACAAGTATTTATAGATATAATTTCATTACCTAATAATATAATTTATTTTATAACAATTTTGAAAAAAAAATAATAATAATAATTGACTTCAGTTGTGAAAATAGCAATCCTTTCAAATGGGAATTGATTTATTTAATATGGACCAATCAGTAGCCTTGACCTTACGTATATTAGTTGGGGGCCATTACATTGATCAATTATCTATATATGAAATAAAAATGAAATCTTCGGGATTTTTTACTTGCTTTCTATAATAGCTCCTTGTCATAGGATCTCGACTTGTTTTATAGTTATCTTTAGTTTTACCTGATTTCATACTGCTAACGAGTGATCAAACGTAAGAATGGCAGTGGGGCGGGTTGGAGGCACCACACCCTCACCCCCATCCCATCTCTCCCAAATCTCGCCCCGTTCCTCCTTGCCTTAGCTTAGACTGGGTTGGGCTGGGTGGGGTGGGGCTCGTTTAATTTTTTATTTTTTATTCTTTTTTTTTTTTTATTTTTACATTTTCAAAATTCCGAGTTATGTCTACAAATTTAAAATGGATTTTTAACGGGTAAATTGTCTAGAAATAAAATTATTTTTAATCTTTTTTTCCCTTCATGGGGTCCCACCCTATCCCATGCCTTGTGACGGGGCGCTCCCGCCTTACCCCGCCAACCCGTTCGGGACATTTTTTTTGTCATCACTAATCAAACATTGTATTTATGGGAGTAAAACCAGAAACACATGCACAAAAATAGAATATTTCATAGCGCTTCTAAAGAATCAATGTTTAGCATTTTATTCGATGTTCAATTTCTTATTTCCTTGTAAGGTTAACTCAATTAAAAAGATGGTGGGAAAAAAAGAAATGAAAGAATACAAGAAACTTGAGTATAAGAAATTGTCAAGATTTCACCTTTTTATCCGATGGCTTCGCCTGCCTCTTGTCAAGATTTTTATTCCTCAAATTTAACGCCTAATGGTCCAGTTTTGGCATCTGATGCACTATAATTCAAGATTTTGATGAAAAATTTTGTGACATAGAACGATCCATTAATGCAGTGGTCAACAACTACTCTTTTCCGTACAAAGAAAAATGCTAGTGAACCAGCTCATGGAGGCAAGCCAAAAAGTCTTTATTAGAGATAAAGTTGGGCACAACATCGTAGAAAACTATTATACATTTTCACAAAAGTGCAACCATTTATATACATATTTGATGTAACAACTTATTCGTTACAACTTTTATGTACATTGGTGCAATTGTTAACTCCATCTAAATTTACATTTTGTTTGGTATTAGAAGTGTGAAACATGCAGATGCAACTCGTGTTGAATTAGAAATCTTAATTTTATATTATCAAGAATAATAAAATCGTAATAAGGAAAAAAAAATACAAAATGACATACAATATTTATAGAGATTTATTTTAATGTGAGACTACGTGCTCGTCCGCTGCTACAATAAATTTACTATTATGAAAATAAGTTTACACCAGAAAAATCACAACCCTATATTATCTGGCGCTTCTCTCTGTTTTGATGATTATATATTAAATCATAATTACGGACTCCACACAAAGATAATATTTAATTTCCACAACTTTACACTCATTTTGGCATATGGAAATGAGATACATGTTTTGGCATTATTTTCGTTTTTTCTCATTCTTAGGCAAAGACAACTTGATGATGTACGTACAACACTGTGAAGTAAAAAGAAGATGATGATGAATAGATCAATGACCGGTTGAAATTCTTAGTTAAAAAGTACATTTCTTCTCAAAAGTTAGCTCAACTCTCATGTGCAAGTGCCCAAAAATAAGGTGATCTTATCCCAATTTTGCTACTTTATGAGACATGGCTTCTACATTAGCCATTCCATTCCAATTCCCAAATGATAATTGCTTAATAACTCAGAATAATCTACCCTGCATTATCCTACTGATTTTGGTGCTACATTACCAGCAAAAGGTAATAATAATTGAATGGTTTAGGCCAACTGGCCTTGGATTGTACATTCTGGCATTTTGGCACCACGCTTGTCCTTGCATTGCAATCAACTAAACCACATGTTATTTCACTGTGTGCCCATCAATCTTGGTTATATAGCTGGTACGTCAAATTAAATACGACTAGATAAAATATCTCGTCTAGTTTAAACTTGAATAACACATGATTGTTCCATGCTTCGAATTTCATTTTTATTTTTTGCTGCCTCTTTTCTCTCATCCATTTTTGCAACAAGATTTTCGACTGGGGAAAAAAATCACCACTGCACAGCTGAACACAAAGAAAACGAACAAGCAACAAAGAGAGAAACACAAAATAGATGTGGTTTGGTAAACCACCAACGATCACTAGAGAAGAAGACTATTATATGAAAAATCCTCACAATATAATATTTTCTTCATTCCCTCGATTTTCCCATATAAAACTAGAACTCTCAACGTTTCAAAAATGACAAATACACTCGTCAATGACCAGAAGATCTTTTAAATTCATCTCCTGGCTCAAAAAATACAGATACAACAGATTTTTTTTTTTTTTTTTTTTTTTTTATAAAGAATCATAAACAACAAGAAGAATGGGGAGAGCTACTGTACACACCCTCTGCAAAGTTTATACTCGCCAGTCAAACTTGTCATCGCCTCATCTACATCTACTGCTGTATCTGCATTACTCATGTTAAAGACTAAGACAAAAGAAAACACACTAATGCTCCTCAGGTTCATGGTCCCATAAGCATGCTGACAATGGAAAGCAGTCTCTAGACAGATAGAGCCGATAAACTCTCAAGAACCCTGGAGTAGAAGCTCCAAAATTCGTTTGTCCCATCTATAGCACCTTGACCAAATGGATGTTGCTCGACATATTTCTTTACATTGTCACACTTCAACATGTCTTCCAAATAAACTCGAAGATTACCTCCAGGACCTGTGATGAATATGAGTTTATTATGAAGGCAATCTTCCATGTCACAAACTCAAAAAATGGGGCAACATAGATATTGTGCAAAAATGCATCTATAATAAAAAGATCAATGGAATAGATCAAAAAATTCAGTAACAGTTAAAACTGTAATTTTAAGCTGTATGTTGCCATCCTCGTCGTATGCTAAAAGCACGTTAGGGGTTGTTTTTAATGGTTTAAACAATAAATAGATAGGAATGAATGGTGGATAATTGGACACTGGACAGTACTTGTGAGTCCCATAAAATGGGTGGATAAAAATTGATTTCACCAAATATATATAGTCTAGAAACAGTAGCCAAACAAGGACTAATGCTTCATTCAGAACTTGGCCATCCATTTAAGCTATCTAATTTAATATCTTTAAACATGAAACCTAGCCAGAGAGTTAAGTAAAACAGGTCTTAATTCCGCAAGTGTAGTTTTATTTTAAACACCACAAATGTAATATAAATAAATCACGAGCACTAAAACTAAAAAGTGAAGACATGTCATTAACAGGAACTGCTCATCATAACAAACAACTGAACTGTGTAAGATCTCAGTACTTGTGATAATATGCAAACATTCTGCTAGCAGACTTGTGATTAACAGAACTATTTATCAATACTTGTGATAAGAAATAACAAATAAATGAACTGGGTAAGATCTCAATACTTGTGATAAATATGCAATCGTTTTGCCAGATGACTGTGGGATAGTACCTCTGTGCAACTTTTGGGTGGCATAGAGAGAGCAATATAAGACTTTTTGTGGTGTTGAAAACCACCTTTTATGAGTCAAGCATCCAGTTTTTTGTTCTATTTATTTGGAGCCTTCAAACAACTTCATCTTGTATAGATTTGCGAATGGATACTTTTATTGAATTCGTTAGGCGTTTTTAGAATACCTTTGGCATAACACTCGTTTAAGTAATGAATTTTGGATTCAGCAAAAAAAGAGAGAATTTGAAATATATGTTGCAGTACGCCTGCTTGTGTAAACTTCCTTTTACCACATACCCTGTGTATAACTTGTATCCCTCTTCCTCTACCAGCGCATGGGATTGGCTTTGAAAAACTTAGGCGAAGTTTTGTATGTATGTCTAAAATTTAATTCTCAAGAAACTTTTCAATATGGTCTAAAAATAATAAGCCCCCGTTTGGCCCCCATTATTCCACATTTTAATGAGAAGAATAGTAATTTTTTGGAGAATGTGTGGTTAAAAAAAGGAAAAGTTCATGAATTTACGTGTAACATTATTTTATTGAAAAATGTGTGGTTTATAAGAAGAGAGTGAAAAATGAATTAAAATTTAATGGGGAATAATGGGGGCTAAGCTAATCCTATATTTATTTTCCACTAGAAATGGCCACCGTGTGATCTTGCACATATAAATGAATTTACTTGATGAACTCTTCACACGAAATTGAACTTTAAGTAAGTGCACCTATCATATGTGCCATATTCTGGATAAATTAAATTGGCATCCCTTGTTAATTACAGACACCAACAGAATACTATAATAAAAAAGCAACAAATATGAGAGAAAAATAAGGAAATGAATCTCACCTAGAGAATTATCACTTTTATCCTTGTAACGGTATGAATATGGAAATATTGTAGTGTGCGGCTACAGCAAGCACAAACCACAAAATAAGAATTAGGACGCCCTTTGACGAATAAAAACAGGGTAACTAGAACGACCTGGTAGAAAACAAGTGGTAAAAAGCTTACAGGGTTGAGAAGGGCCTTGTAAGGAGAATCATCCAACAACAATGTGTTCGATTCGTTGTAATATCCTTTCTCCCAAGGAAAATTAGGATCATCTTTTTCCCAAATTTTCTTTAGCTCCTTCATGACCAAGGGTTTATGCATGTTTTCAAGAGTTTTGAACCCTGTTTGAGTACTTTGTGAAATATCCTGCATAACAAGGTACACGCGCAATTCAGAAGCTGCTTACTTCTAAATCCTGGGGTAAATTAAAGACAATAGTTCAGAGACTGCTTATTTCTAAATCCAAGTGTAAATTAAATGCATATGGGTTGAGCGATGTTGTGTATGTTCTACTGCTTGGGGTGACACACCTCCAACACTTATGTGCTAAATAACCGCTCACCAAAACATTCAAATGGTTGAATAAACAGGAGCATTCTAACGATTTGCATGCTGTAGGGTGTGGCCTACATGCCATAAATATAAGGATAATAGTGCCACTTTACTCGCTCCAGAATGCTTACATAAATTAGTCATGATGGTTACTTTATGGTACTCTTACTGTCATTTTAGTACTCCTAATCACGTGCATAAGCTGCAAACTAAAGGGTTGATGTCCCAACAATATAAGTTTGTAATTATGATCTATCATTGTGATTTATGTTCTTGCATCATTTTGCATAATGACATATATGATAAGGCGCGTGATAAAAATGATAGCAAGAGATGAATTGTAGTATTAAGTCTTTAAACAAGAACGATCATTGAAGACAAAAACAATACATTAGGTATTAAAAATAATTAATTTTGGATGTAAATCCTTTTATTTGATGATTGTGAAGAAGATTACCCAACAAAATAGCAACTTATGTTGTAGATCTCCCAATAAATAATTGACGACTTTCTCAATAATTTTCCTGCACGTCAAGTATATAGCTAAGGTTAATGCTACAAAATTTACAGAGAGAAACAAATACCCAGTAGTAGAACTGGCAAAGAAGATGGTGCTAATATTTCTTTCAGAATCTGGTTACTTCTAGCAAATAGAAAACAAAATCCAGCCATAAGAAATGTAGAAACAAATTGGAAAATTTCGATGAATACTTAGATCTTGATGACCATATGGCAACATCAAAGTTCTCAAAGCAAAACTTTAGAAAATCATCGCAGAAAGGTCTCCTGAAAACTACAAGAGAAAAGTGATGGCTGATTAGATTTTAATCACTAATTTAGCATCCTAATATTCGCATAAGTTTAAATCATGAATTGCTTCATAATAATGAGCAATATTTTTATACTCACCAGCCCGTCCCAAGATATGTGTATCTGCAATACAGTCTGTAGGAGCTGGCATTAAAATGTCTGCAAGTAGACCATTTACATCAAGGACAAGAAGTTTTCTCCTAACAGAAGCAACTGGCGCTATTTCTAGATATGGGGATGAATCATTTGCCAAGTCATCTTGCTTCAAACTAGGAGAGTAGAGCTGCTTGGTCACATCCACATCATAGGAAGAACATACAGCTGAATCTTTACCCTCATTAACAATAATTTCTTCTTCATTGTACTCATTCTTGATTTTCTCATTTTTACCATACATCTTATCAGGAAGAAGTATATGTCGGCTTTCCCAAGAGAACATTTCAACTTCCTTCTCCCTTGGTCCCTTCGAAGGTCCAGATCCCTGCTCGATGAATTTAGAACAAGATTTTGAATCAACGTCAACTGGTGCCAAGGAAGTCTCGTTATGTTTACCTAAGCCAACATGACTCGTTGTATCATTCACCAAATGAAATGAAGTGGTAGTGCTCTCATTTGTAATTAGCTTATCGTCATTCCTTATTCCATGATTTATATCTGACAAGTTCAGACTTGACATACAATTCGCACTTGGAAGTTTATCTTTAGTACTGGCCCTCTTTTTGTCATCTTTTCTCCATCTTCTTTTCCTTTGCACCAACCCTTCTGCAAGATTTTCAGTTGACCTTGTACCCATTTTAGATTGTTCAGCATGCGATTGTGCAGTTGAATCCAACTCAATAAGATTTTTTTGCAAATTATTATTGCCTACATTACAACTTATGCCAATGCCGATGCTGGGAGTTTCCAAATTATCATCCATCTGATCCAAGCTTTGAAGTTCATCTTTATTTTTAGCCTTCTTTTTGTTCTGTTTTCTCCTCCTCCTTTTCCTCTGCATAGTTCCTTCTCTAAGATTTTCAGTTAACCTTATATCCAACTTTGATTGTTCAGCATGTGATTGTGCAGTTGAATCCAACTCAATAAGATTATTTTGCAAATCACTATTGACTACAGTGCAACCACTGGCAACTTCCAAATTATCATCCATCTGATCTAAGCCTCGAAGTTTATCTTTATTTTTAGCTTTCATTTTCTTATGTTTTCTCCTTCTCTTTTTCCTCTGCACTGTATTTTCAGTTGACCTAGATCGCTCCTCATGCGATTGTGCAGTTGAATCTAACTCAGTGATATTATTCCGCAAGACATTATTTGCTCCAGGACAATTTTTTCTAGCGTCAAGAGCATTCCTCTGATCCATGCATTGAAGTTCACCTTGATTTTTAGCTTTCTTTTTGAAAAATCAAGTGAAAAGCCACAAATTTCAAATTTGCAATGGCCAGAAAGGGTCTAATTTATGTACCATGTGACCACATGGATTTGTACCCTGTCGTCGCATGGTTCACACATGCCGAGACCGACATGCAACCACAATTGTTGTTTTGCAGCCATCTTCCCATTTTTTATATTGCTCCACACAATTTGTTGATTTTGAACAACAAATCTCAACAATCCCCCACTTGTTCAAAATTAACGAGGTCTTATATTCAAAGTATACGATACTCATGCATGAGGACTAGATATCTTTTAATTTGAATCTAACCACGGTGTAATTCCTACAATGTAAAGTCGGGATTAAAGGTAACATGAAGCCTTAAATCAGTTATTCCATGTACCATGTGTTCTCAAGTTTCTCATAACTCGCTTAGAGCTATTATGACCTTGCACTTATCATTTTCAACAAACTTTTAAGAGAGAAACTCCAACTCTCTTTTAAGGCGGCACCACCTCGATGTTTGTCTAGATGAAGATCATCCAGTACCTTTGTTACTTTTAAAGATACTTGTGTTTTAGCACTAAACTTCATTAAGAGCTTAAAGCTCAACCCTCACTTCAGTAACAACCAGTATTATTTTAACTAGGATAGGATCATTGCAGATTTAAATAATGCTGCAACTATTTACGTATCGAATGACTTGTTACCCTTTGAACCCGTGGATTGCCTTTTGAGTAATGACAGGTAGGCTTGCCATCATTGGTGAATCTTTTTTTTAGTTAAGGATTTTCAACCCCATCCTACTCGAAATAGAAGCCACTAAATCTTAGTTAAATGATCCGCTAAATTCTCAATTGACTTTACATAATTTAGGAAAATTATTCCATCTTTAATATAATTTCCTTATGTAGTCATGTCTTATACTCATATGTCTAGACTTTTCGTTGTATATCTCATTGTATGCTAATGTGGCTCGACTATCACACATGATAGGTATTGAAAAAATATTTTTCGATCCTAAAGGTATCTTATAAAAGAGATCCTTAAGTCACTCAGCTCTTTCCCGATTTCCAATAGAGCTATAAATTCAGATTCCATGGTCGAGTGTGTTATGCATGTTTGTTTTTTTGATTTTCAAGAAATAGCTCCTCCTCCAAGAGTGAACACCCAACCCAACCTGAGATGGATTTACTTTCTCCCGTGCTAGAAATCCAACTAGCATCGGTGAATCCTTCCAATACCACCGGGAACTTAGTATGTTGAAGGCCTAAATTCTTGATTTTCTTTAAGTATCCAAAAACTCCAACAATGGCCTTTCAAAGATCATTGTTTGGATTGTTAGTAAACCTCCTAAGTACTTATTGCTTAGGCTATATTCGATCTTGTGCATTGAACTGCATACATAAGACTCCCTATAACACTAGCATACTTAAGAAATGGTGCTAAAAATCAAGTGAAAAGCCACAAATTCAAATTTGCAATGGCCAGAAAGGGTCTAATTTATGTACCATGTGACCACATGGATTTGTACCCTGTCGTCGCATGGTTCACACATGCCGAGACCTTTTGGTCTCGGCATATAGACATGCGACCACAGTTGTTGTTTTGCAGCCATCTTCCCATTTTTTATATTGTCCCACACACAATTTGTTGTTTTGAACAACAAATATCAACAAAAAGTCACTTGTATTGCTTGCAAAATTATAGGGCATGTCCGTGGCAGTATTTGCTAGTATTCTTCCAGAAATCAAACAGATAACAACTTGTAATTTAATTCCAAGCATCAGTTATTTTCAATTTTTACCTTTATTTTGTTCATATCCAACTAATAACAAACAAAATCACATAAATACAGTATGCAGGGATCAATTTACCCAATTTATAGGCATTTAGGGGCGAGAGCCACCTGGAGCCAGTGGGGGTAACTGCTCCAACTGGATTTTGGACCTGGGTATTTCACCGATTGCACATGAGGGACAAGGAGAAAACCATAAACAACCGAATAAAAAATTTATGAGAAATATTGCGGAGAAATTCACTTTTTTCTAGAGGAAGATCGCCATCAAGAAACAACAATTTTAGGGGGAAAAAATCTAGGGAGTTGAGTTGAAATTAAATCATTCACAACAATCAGATGGAGTGCGATTTCAACATATAAAGCTACCTTTGGAGTTCGGTGACGAAGAAGTTGAGTAAAAATCATGCAACACAAGATACCACAGGTCTCCCTCTTTCGGGTTTGAAACAGGTCTTTATTGTTGGATATGCATGGCTTTTAATTTGGGCTTTGCAAGATTTTATTCCCTAAAAGAAAAGAGGAAACCATAGAATGTAGTTCTAATCCATTCTTCTAATGGGCCTAAAGTATGTAAGTAGTAAGCCCTAATCAAGATTGGGATAATTAGGCCCACTACTTTAAAAAGGAAACTAATTAGAATAATATACTTAAAACATAAATTATGTCTTTAGTCACCGTATAAATCGCGCTCTTGATTGGCCTGTGTTCAGTCTCTCTCTTTTTTACTCTCTCCATTGCACTCCACCCCTCAAATGGCTTCGAAAAGGGCCCTCTACAAACTCTCCTTTGATAACCACATCTCGATGCCATTGCAACCCTCTCGCTATCACCTTATTCAGCCACTCAAGGCTATCATTCCACATCTCGCCACCGTTGCTGCAATTGAGTCCTCTGTTGTTATACCTGCTAAAACTAAGTTGGGTCTTTTAAGAATTGCAAATGGGTCTTCGTTATCAACCAAGGACAGGCACACTAATGTAAATTGGGCAGGACCCTCAAGTGAGAATATTGGCTTTTTGTGCACCGCCCACGTGTTCCAAGTAACGTGTGAGCTTGGCCACCACTCCGACGAGGAGATTATTAAATGGCTTCTTCGCCAAGCCGAACCTGCTATCGTCGCTGGCACCGACATCGGTACCGAAACTGTACCTACAGACAACATTTCCGCTGTCCCCAATATTTCCCGCTCCGCCACCTCTGTACAGGCTCCAGTGAATAGGGTGCTGCAATCAACGCTTTCACTAAGCTGTAGACTAGACTCTGCCACGTTTACATAATTGGATCATTTAAGGAATAAGTTAAAAATGGTTATCATCTCGATTTGATAATTTGAATTCTGTATGTGGTCAAATGATGAACGAGCATGAGAAATGCGTACATTATTGATAATTATGCCAGTCACATTATTTTTATAAAAATGTATTTTTGAATAGTATATTGATGTACAATGTTTGATTAAAAAATAAGAAAAAATTTTGAATTTACGTGTAATATTATTTTATTAAAAAATATATAGTTGAAATAATGTCAAGTAGCTATTTAAGAATATATTTTTTGAAAAAAAAAATGTGGCTCAAATTGGGCCAATATATATTGTCTCCTATTTGCACAAAATTTTCTTTTTAAGACCCACTCCACCAAGACAAAATGCTGAAAGCTAGCATTTTTTATGGGTTCCAATTCATTAGATTACAATGTAATCTATGTAACTTCTTTTTAATTTGTGTTACTTTTTTTAATTCGTCACTTTTTAAATTTTTTATTTTATCACTCTTTGAATTTTTGTCACTTTTTTCAATCAACTTATTAATTTTTATTATTTTTTAGTGACAAACATCACTTTAAGGGTATTTCTGTAAGTTGTCTATCAAGATTTTATTAAATTTTGATAGAAGTTGATCATATATAAATTTGAAAAGTTATGAATTTCATGAATTATGTGATTAAAATTAATAATTGACTTTAATGGAGATTAAAACAGGACTAAATATGTTACCATTTCATTATGAAATTATCAAAAAAGAAATATTTAATATTAGTTTTATGGGGAAATCAAGAGGAGAGGTAACTCGTCTATAAGGACCAGTAGGCAATAAAGTGTCTGGATTGAGATTTAGGCCCCGTTTGGTAGGAATTTTTTGCTCCAGAAAATTGATTTTTTGACATTTATTTTATTATTCAAGCCATAATTTTTGACTTCTTCTTTCACATGTGGACCCCACTTTTCTTCTAACGGTCAAAAAATCAATTCTCAAAATCCCTACCAAACGGACCCTTAGTAAAATTAGATGACACTCAAGTTTTGCTTCCCAATTGTGCATAGATATTCAAGTTTATCCTTACTTTTAAAATATGTGTTATATCCATCCATAATCTCTCATTCAATATATAAATATTTCAGATAATTAATTATTAATTATTTAAATGTTTAAATTTGATTTATAATTTTTGAATATTAATGAAAATAAACAATTGTAATTTCGAATAGGCATTAAACTTAAATATATCTATAGTCTAGATGGCCAATTTTAATTTTGAAGTGACATCTATATTTATAAAAGGTCATAAATTTCAGCGGGCTAAAAAAGAAAATAAATAATAAATTAATTACTGTGTTGAATAAAATCCCTTTTTGAGCCTTATTATTTGTGCAAAAAAGAGTTTTGTAATATTAAATTTTTTTGGAGAATGTGTAATTAGAAGGAAAAAAGTTAAATAAAATAAAATATTTTGTTTAGGTGTAAAATAATTTACTGAGAGGATGTGTGATCGGAAATTAATTTAAAAAATATATAAAAAATAGGATCCAAATGGGGGTTATGTTGCAACTTGCAAGTGATTTGGCGCTGACAACACTATTGAATTCAATTGCCACTCATTATCTAAAATAATAATACTGTTTCACTGGGGTAGGGGTTCAAAACCCCTACCGATCCTCATAGCAAGTTGGTCCCATGCAGACACGCTTGCATAAAAAAATTGTCAAAAACCCCATCCACCCATCCCATGCTTTGAGTGCTCGGTAAGGGTTCCCACGGAACCCCTACCTTGAACTCCAAGCATAATTGCACCTAAAATTGCGAAACCCTTTGTTGAATGCAAAGGTTTTTCAATTATAAAATTCCCACAGGCTAAAAGTAAGTCACAATTTAGTTATAATTGAACCAAACTTGATAAGTTCATAAGTTCGTATCCTTGAGGTACAATATTACCTGTAATTT